CATGGGAAATTTTAGGCACACAAATAGCTTGGGCACCCTTCCCACATGTGGTGAGGTTCAAACACACACACCCAACACTGTCTGGCAAAAACTGGAGTATTTGCCATTTAAATGTGAGGAAGAAATTTATATTGTACTTTGTAGCATTACTGTGACTTGGTTGAAGAGCCGGTTGTGTCTTGAGAGGTGCAGGAGGCCTACTCCGGTTTTAGAGGAACAAAACTGGACATCATTTAATATATGGAGCTATAGTTCGAAATAACCTTTTCACATATGTGCAATTGTTCCATAACCACTGCGCTTTAACAGAGATAAGATAAAAGCATACAGTAAAAATATAAAACATGTGTTCACAGTAAAGTGTCAAATATATGGACTTTAAAAGGTTATAACTCAAAAACTAAAATGACTCAGATTAGAAAAAAAGACTTCAAACACAGACTTATCAAAAATATAGTGTGGATGAAATCCAAAGAAGAGATTGACATATATATTTTTGGCGAAATTTTAAATCAGCTCAGTCTCTGATTTGATAATTCTACTGTGACACCAATTACAGTGGGGCAAAAAAGTTTGTAATTTTCATCATAGGTACACTTACACTGCGAGAGACAGAATGTGATAAAGAAATCCAGGAATTCACATTGTAGGATTTTTAAAGAATTTATTTGTAAATTATGGTGGAAAATAAGTATTTGGTCACTTCAAACAAGGAAGATCTCTGGCTCTCACAGACCTGTAATTTCTTCTTTAAGAAGCTCTTCTGTCCTCCACTCGTTACCTGTGTTAATGGCACCTGTTTGAACTCGTTATCTGTATGAAAGACACCTGTCCACAGCCTCAAACAGTCAGACTCCAAACTCCACTATGGCCAAGACCAAAGAGCTGTCAAAGGACACCAGGAAAAGAATTGTAGACCTGCACCAGACTGGGAAGAGTGAATCTACAATAGGCAAGCAGCTTTGTGTGAACAAATCAACTGTGGGAGCAATTATCAGAAAATGGAAGACATACAAGACCACTGATAATCTCCCTCGATCTGGGGCTCCACGCAAGATCGCATCCCGTGGGGTAAAAATGATCATGAGAACGGTGATCAAAAATCCCAGAACCACACGGGGGACCTGGTGAATGACCTGCAGAGAGCTGGGACCAAAGTAACAAAGGTTACCATCAGTAACACACTACAACGACAGGTAATCAAATCCTGCAGTGCCAGACGTGTCCCCCTGCTGAAGCCAGTGCATGTCCAGGCCTGTCTGAAGTTTGCCAGAGAGCACATGGATGATACAGCAGAGGATTGTGAGAATGTCATGTGGTCAGATTAAACCAAAGTAGAACTGTTTGGTATAAACTCAACTTGTCGTGTTTGGAGGAAGAAGAATACTGAGTTGCATCCCAAGAACACCATACCTACTGTGAAGCATGGGGGTGGAAACGTCATGTTTTGGGGCTGTATTTCTGCTAAGGGGACAGGACAACTGATCCGTGTTAAGGAAAGAATGAATGGGGCCATGTATCGTGAGATTTTGAACCAAAACCTCCTTCCATCAGTGAGAGCTTTGAAGATGAGACGTGGCTGGGTCTTCCAGCATGACAATAATCCCAAACACACCGCCCGGGCAACAAAGGAGTGGCTCAGTAAGAAGCATTTGAAAGTCCTGGAGTGGCCTAGCCAGTCTCCAGACCTCAACCCCATTGAAAATCTGTGGAGGGAGTTTTAAAGTCTGTGTTGCTCGGCGACAGCCCCGAAACATGGAGTAATGGGCCAAAACACCAGCTACTGTGTGTGCAAACCTGGTAAAGACCTATAGTAATCATTTGACCTCTGTAATATAACCTTTGTTGGCAATAACAAAGTATTGATTTGAATTTTTGTTATTAACCAAATACTTATTATCCACCATAATTTACAAATAAATTCTTTAAAAAATCCTACAATGTGAATTCCTGGATTTTTTTTCACATTCTGTCTCTCACAGTTGAAGTTTACATGGGATGAAAATTTCAGACCTCTGTCATTATTTTAAGTGGGAGAACTTGCACAATCGGTGGCTGACTAAATACTTTTTTGCCCCACTGTACATAGAAAACAAAAGGTCATCAGTGACAAAGCAGCAGATTAACTCCCACAATATTACTAACACAACATCAGTAAATCATGTTGTCTGGTTTCAAATTTAATTGGTTTACTGTGTGAAAATAATCACTTTGTTTCTACTTTGTAAAAAAAAGAAAATATTAATCAAATGTGGACATCTGACAATATGTAACAAGCTCATTCCGTCAAAGGCATCACAACTAGGGGTGGGCAATATGGATAAAAATAAATATCTCTATTTTTTTTCCATTAATTTTTACACAAAATGATCTGCAATGTTTTGCTGCCAGGGCCTCTATAGATAGAGACAGTGTAGATCTAAATAGAAGATTTTTATTTGTAAAGTGCTTCACACATCTTTGCAAAACATGCACTAATATATATTAACATTAAAAATCAAACTCAAGTATCACAGAAAGAACACATCCAAAAAGGCTAGCCCAATATTTACTGAAATGTACAAATACAGCAGTGATTGGCTTTTTAGGCACACATTAGACAAATGGGCATCTTTCCTTCTCTAACTGTAATATGTATTGAAAAATAAAGACGATAATACGAAAAAGCATATCTTCAAATTGACTTTCACAGTATTATTGTCTACGATATATTTTGCCCACCCCAATCACAACTAGCCACTATAGGAATTGACTAATGTATAAAACATCTTCTAGAACTTAATTACTAATGGACAGAAGAGGTTTTTGGATACATTAAAAACATTAATATCTTCTGATCTTTATCTTTTTGGCCTTCCGTTACACTTTTGTACCCTTTAGTATGAACAAGCCCAGGATGTGTCTAAAACTACAAATGTAGATGTATTGCAATACATCTACCTGGCTCTTTATTCCTAAATGGACTTAGTGACAAATAGGGATGAGATGACAACAAACACTTACACAAGAGTCTTGTTTAACCATTCAACAAATATTTAAATAACAATGCGGGTAATCTTAACATCTACTCTGACATGACATAACTTGATGATCATTACACACTATACAGCGTTTAAACATTATTAATTGTTTACAAAGGTGGGACAAATAAAAGAATGTCATAGAACGAGTTCTAAGGGGGATCAAGTGCCGATAAACAGACACACCCACTGCACTTGACATAACTCAACAAGAACTTTGTAACGTCTTGAAATAGCCCCTAATCGTACACCTCAGAGTTGTCCTTGAATAAATTGATGTTTTCTTACACAGGTAAGGATGTTTACATACCTTACATTGTGTATATTGTAAATAGTAAATGTAACTCTATTTTAAATTTAAATTTATTCCTTAGAAGTGTTTTTTATTCTATATTTTTATCATCTCTTTCTGACTGCTGCACTGAGCCAAAGCAATTTCCAAGTCTGTGACTTCCTGTTACTTACGTGGCAATAAAAATGATTCTGATTCTGATACACGTCAGACACATACATGTCAGATACATGTTTTTAAAAAAAACTAATAAAATATGGACTATCGGGCATTTGCCACCCAAGTTAAGAGGACATTGATTTAATAAAACAATATATTTGAATATATACAGTACAATAGGACTAATATCTTTAACCTAACTATATTGACTAGTCCATTAAAAGTCAGATTTCGTTCTGTCTTGTGTTTTACCTAAAGAAAAGATGTGTGCTGCTCACAATTCACAAACTGTTTTTTCCCATTACCAATCTGTATATAATATCTGTAAAATATATGGTGGCTGTGCAAAATGTGGGCCAACCCGTTCCCTCACTCTCACAGTGCAAGCGTGTCTGACGAGGACAGAGGCACACTCCCTTCTCCTCCCTCCTGACTGTCTGGTTTGAATCCACAAATAAGTAATTACCCACAAAAAATCTGTGGTTCAACACTGGATGCACAAACGCACATCAAATTCACATATGTACTAAAGAAATTCTACATAATACTGTAGCTCATATAGCATTCAGGTTCATGTCACACTTCACTGTCCCAAGTCATAATATTGTGCTTTTGGACAAAAAGTAATCAGACAAAAGTCTCCTCAATACTGTCTGGATTGCAATGATTCACTTGTTCAAAAAAGGTTAGGAAATTGTTATCCCAGATGAATGTCCAGAACGTCTGGAAAATCACTCATAGTAACATGTTCGCAAGCTTTCTCACATCCACTTATGTCCAATTCTAGTTCAAATCAAAACATGACTTTAAAGTCTTTAAAAGCAACATCATTCTCCATAGAGATGGATGCATTTATGCCAACTGTGGGAGCCAAATAGAACATCATTTCTATAGAAACAAGTTTATGGTGGCCTGGATGAGTTCGAGTCAGGTTTGTGGAGATGCAAGTTCACAGTAAGGTGTACTTTGTAACAGCAATCAAACTTACAAAATTAAACGGGAAACGTATTTGGGGCAGTTTGAACTAAAATGTAACCCGGTGGGGAGCACATGGAAAAATTAGAGGCGAGTATCATCAAAGGTGTGTGGACCAAGAGGGATTTATCCCTGTTTAAGAAAATTAATTAAGTACAAACAGGCTGATGGTCACGTTCACGGTTCAGTTGTAAAACAACAGACATGACCCCAAAACACCAGGGCAACTTTTCTTTTAAACCAAACTCTTCTGCAACATTTACATGCGGTGCCTTGAAGCCAACCAGCCAACCTACAACTAATATTTGCCACAGTTGATGAACAAACTGTGAGGAAGATGCTAAAGAAGAAGCTAAAGCTAACAGCCAAAGAATGACTAGTTTATGGAGAAAATTTATCCCAGATGCAATCGGAGCGAGAGAACACTCCAGGATGTACGCCGGCGGATAGCTACCCTGGGTATAATAAGTGATTAAAGGATCTATTCATGAAGTCACCTTTATTGTAGACTATTTGAAGTTTGAAGCTGTCAGTAAATTGTTGAGTGTACTCACAGTGGGTTTCCAGACAGCGTCCCGTGTGGAGTCCTGCCTTTTCCACGAAGCACAGACAAAAGTAACCAGCCACAGCGGCGAGCCCCGCCCCGTACTGACGCAGCGTCAACATCATTTGGACGCAAGAAAACAAGTATATGTGATGGGCAGGTTACGCCAAAATTCAAATATATAATACATTACTAGTTACTGTAATAAACATGTAATATATTTTTATGAAAATACAATCCCAAAATACAACAATAAATCCATCAACTGATCATGTATACAAATCTATGTACGCACCCTTAATTTTTCCCTTTTTGGAGGGGTCTGTGGAGAGGCAGTGGTTAGAATTAAGTGGAAGTGGGATGGAAATGGGAGCTAAAACAAAAGCATGCGTTAATATTTTGAGCATAGATCCATGATTTTGAGTCAGTGTAATATAATATATAATGAACACTATTACTCCTCGCCAATAGGTGGCGGTCAAATTAGAGCACGTTCCAACTACATGGAAGAAAAATGGTCCATTTTGCGCCCTCTAAATATTCTTAGGAACGTGCTTATTTTAAGGTTCAGATTACACACCTATAAAGTCGTACCTGCACTAAACCAATATGCATGTTTTATAATGGATACACACTCACTGAAGAACAGATGACAAGTCAGCAGCAGTTATGAGGTAATGTTCTGAGAGCTACTGGCTGGTTAGCTAATTTAGCTAACACTGGTACAAAGCTAATAGCTAGCAGTATATTCATGAAATGAACACCTTCTGACTTGTCGCAGACATATTTTGTATACATATATATCTGTATATGGTTATATATGTATAGAAATTTTGTTTTTTATGTATCTTTTTATATCTGATTATTTTACCAAGTCATATTTTGAATACATTAATTACTATGGCAACACGTTATGCATCCACATTGTATATAACCGCTATAGCAATGAGCTGTCTATTTGTTAAGTGATGTAATAGATGGCTATATTCCGATAAACAAAAGCACTGTTATAATATTGCAGACTTGATATAACACTCTGTCATTTAAATAGCGGAGATGAGACAAACTGCAGACTGAGACGGTATCGTTTTACACAGAAAAAGTAACATATTCCCACTGTTGCAAAGAAAATCATCAGAGACTAACATTGAGCTACAAAAACCTGTTTATCGTTCATCAATTATTGAATAATAAGTAAATTTAAGTTGTCACTTGCATATGCAGATTATGTGTACTTTTCCCTCTTAATACACTTTTATTTCTAGTGCCACAACCAGCAAGCTCAATCTACTCGTCAGTAAACTGCATGAATTTCTTGCTGTTGAGGAAAGCAATGGGACACCAGAAGTTCATGAGAGTAATATGAAAAAATATCTATACTATAACATGTGTATTTTTTTAATACAAATTAAAGATTATGTTTATGTCTTCTTAGCTCTGATCAACAACAGATCAAGTAATCGGGCGGACCACTGTGCTGAGGTAGTCCAACTTGTTTTAGAAACTAAGCCCTGTTCTTTAACAGAAGTAACATTGATGGTAACATTTAACTCTTTTATTTGCAGGCAAGGAATACTAAATTCTCAAGAAGGTGACTTTAACGTTTTCTTTAGTCAACTTAGAAATATGACTTATCGACTAATCAGCTAATGTCTGCACAGAAAACCCTCAATTGTCATAAAGCACTCTGGCCTGGATGAATCCGGCAACTCGAGTGCAAGTGAGGATGAGGAAGTATTTGATGCCAATGGTGAACTTAACATTAACAGATTGCCAAAAGGTGAGGTTTTAGAAGTGAACATTTCTCATTACATTATTTGATACAAAGGTTCGGATTTAAAGATCTTCTTGCATACAGGCACTGCTGTTGTAAAACCTGAAGCGGTGGAGAATGGCAGAGATGACTTCAGGGGTCCTGAATTCCGCAACAAAAACCAAATTGGCCCTCGTAGAGAAAGACGTGGAGGTAACTTGGCTTTTTAAACTTAACTTTATATGTTCGTGATGGGTTATTGGCTAAATGGACCAATCACACTTTATACACCACACCAGTGATGTGTTCATTAACATGTACTATCCCATCTAAATAAACAATAATAAAAATAAACCAGTGTTATACAGAAATGGCAACAAATCTCTTGATTCTATAATTTTCTTAATTTTGTGTACCCTGATTGTATCTGTCATCAGCCTTAAAAAAAATCAACATTATTTCCACACATAGCTTAGCAGCGCATACAGAAAACATGCACTGGATTCTGTTTGAGATTTCTTAGAAAATGCATGAATCTGGCTTCTCATTTGGTGAATACTATCTTGTTACTGCCGTGGTCCCATCACTTGGCTCATCCCACTGTTTCTGTGGGACAAATGTGATTGATGATCTTGTACACTTAGTCACACTGTGATATTTGTGTCAGCGGGGGCAGGGCTGTCTCCTCTGTATGAGTGAGGTGTAGTTTGTCCGAAAGACAATTGCTGAGTTTCTTAGGCGCTGTGAAGAGCAGTTTGGGAAAGTGATAGTCGCACATAACATTAAGTTCAATTCACAATGCAACATCAAGAATAGAAGCAGTCAAACTCTTCATCTGACCAGGCCAACGACAGCAAAGTGCGGCCGCTTCTGTGCAGCTTCAACTTACAGATTGACATTACTCGTGAATGTGAGAGTAAGAGGATGTGGAAATTAATACTTCCTTAACTAAGGTTAAACAGGCTCTACATACTGTAGGTAGTTTCAGTGGAAAATCCAGTATTTCTTCTTCAGCATATTGCAGTGGATTCAGTTCATGCAGTCAAACTTAAGAAATGACTTTCACAGTGTGGTCGCCTAATTTCTCCCAGTTTTCAATGCGTTTTTAAATTTATTTTGTACATACACTGGGACTAATGAAGGCATTCAATTAGAGATAAGACATTGATAATTTTGTGTATAGGGCTTTAACAAAGAATCACAACTACTCAACTATTGTTGAAATGGTTTCCACATATGCACATGTTTTTTTATTGTTGGAAGCTTTTGAAAGATTTTGACCTGCTGTTCTCCCAAATATGTGGAAATACATATTCAGTTGAGCTGTCTGTGCATGAATTTTAGTTTATTAAGAAAGTCCATTATGAATGATGTATATTTCATTTTTACAATGATTTGAAATATTCCCAGCCCTAATTATAATTATCATTGTTATTAAGTTTTCATTTTTATGACAAGGATCTAAATTAGTCATATCCATCATAAACCTGAAAAACCAGGTTAAATTGTCTTTTAGGGACTTGGCCAAGTAGCAACTGCACATATGGATAAATCTATGATTAATTGCTGTTGCTCCATTCTAGGGGAGACCACAGAGATTGTCACCTGTACAGCCTGTAATCGCCAAGTAAATCCCTTTCAAAAAGACAACTTGTTCCGGCATCCTGTTCTCAAAGTTCTCATTTGCAAGGTGCGTATAAAAGAAGTTTGTCAGTATCGCAAAGGATCAGGAAAGGCTGCACGGCTTCATTGGACTAATACAATATCTTTATCCAGTCTTGCTGCAAGTATTATTCAAGTGACGACATCAGCAGGGATTCAGATGGGATGGATGAGCAGTGCCGGTAAAATTACATTCTTTAGTAACTCATTTTATTTTAATAAATCTCATGTATTGTCTTGTTTTGTCTTCATACATAGGTGGTGTGCTGAAGGAGGCAACCTTATCTGCTGTGATTATTGTAGCAATGCTTTTTGTAAAAAGTGCATTTTAAGAAACTTGGGAAGAAAAGAGCTTTCCACCATCTTGGAGAGTAAATGGTACTGCTATGTTTGCAATCCAGAGCCCCTTTTTGGTCTTGTGAACACGTGTGATAATATTATGGACAACCTAGAAAACCTGTGGAGCCAAGACCGTAAAAAGAACCAAACTGGATCAGATAAAAGTCTACTGTATGGTATGTTGCCGACAACACAGAGCCTTCCTCTAGATAAATGGGATCACACTGGGATGGATGGAAGTGTGGTGTTCAACTATAGTACTCTAAAAGTTTCAAAAGACATTACCAAGAAGACCAAACATCTAGTTGACTCAACCAACATGTTAAATCACTCATTTGTTAAATTTATACACTGTGTGACTAAAAACAAACAAGCAGCTAATGTTCGCAAACTATACCTCAGTTCTTTTGTCTCAGTCGTCAAAGGTTTAAGAAAATCCCTAACTTTTTTAGAAGAATGCCTTAAAGAAGAATTTTCTGATTTGGATGTCCAAAACCGCTGGGACAAGTTGCTGAAAGAAGATCTGAACACACAAAGGATTGGTAGTTTGGGAGTTCATGAAGCTGATGTTAAGTGTATACATCATTTGAAAACCCTGGCAGCTGAACATTTAGGAGCTGGGGATTCAGATGTAAGGTCCAGTTCCACCGACAGTTCTGAGGAAGACGTTGTTGCACGTTCATCTACAATCAGACGGAATGCATCAAAGAAAGGTGGAAGCATCAGTTTGACCAAAAAACTGGTGGTGCAACTGACCCCCGTGCCCATACCCACAGTTCAACAAGACAAAGAAGTCAGTGTTACACCTAAGAAAGCATCAGATAACTGTAAAACAAAGCAAGACACTAGTGGCATAAAGGCAGAGGGAAAGATGAGTCGTAAGAGCAGCAGCAGTGTGCAGACGCCTCTCTTGGGAAAAGAACAAGATAACAGGCGATCCCCTCGTCTCAAAACCACTCCTTTACGGCGACCAAGTGACGTTCAAACCCAAGTGTCTCCGTTAACTATTAGTGATTCTGAGGGAGGGGTCAGCACATCTAAGAAGTCTGACCACAATGGTTTAAACACTGCAGTTCATGACTCTGACTCTGATGAAATACCAGCTGTTTTGTTGGAGCGAGTCGCAATGATGCAGAGCTCTGATGCTGAAAGTGATGGTGAATCTGAAGGCTCAAAGAAGGTAGCCAAAAAGTGTCTTTTTTGGCTAAATAAAAACAGCCCCATGTCCCCTGAGAATATGTCTCGAAAGCGTAAGATGCTTGATCACTCCCCTGACAATCAAAACAGAAGAAATACTAAAGCCAGAAGGGAAAGTTCCACAGACTCTTCAAGTGACGACGAAGCACCACAAAAGAAGATCCTTATGAC